TTTCCTCTCAGGATCTTGGGCACGCACGCACACGCGCCTGGCTTGAGTTTAAGCCACCAGGTCCAGGACTCGAACCGCGGTCGACTACATGGGAGTCCAGCGACGTAGCCATTACGCTAACTGCTGGTCCCAAAGATAATTCTTTTTTAACATAATTGATGAGAATGATGAACTCAAAGCTGATAGAAATATTAGACTTCACAAGAAAGGAAAATTTAACTGCTAACAATAAACTGGGTAAACTAGGAAGAGTTTGGGTTTTCGCTTTAAGACTTATAAAGTAAGCCACAATCAGATCATTTTCTTTCTGAATGTACTTTTTTTTAAGAATTATTTTATTTATCTTTATTTATTTGCCTATTTTAATTTGACCAGAGAGGAAGAGAGAGAGAAAGAGTTGCCAGGTCTGGTATTCATACCACAGTTGGTCATATGGGAGTCCAACGCCCTTAAGCACCATGTCACCTGCTGGCTCTGAAAGTACATTATTAAAAAATGGAAATTCTAGAATCAATATTTGTTTATTGTTTCAAATAACCGTGTGGAAATAACAGAGGTGTATGACTGTAAATATTCTTATAATCACCAGTAAGAAAATATATTGGCATTGTTTAAATAAGATTGAAAGAGCGTAGCAATGCCATATATTCTTTCATTTTTTTATATATTTATTTATTTTATTTTATTTGTTATTATTATTACTAATTTTTAATTTGACAAGAGAAGGAGAGAGAGAAAGTAAGAGAGAAAGCTGCCAGGTCCAAGACTCGAACTGTGGTTGCCCATCTGGGAGTCCAGTACTTCAACCACCACACTACCTGCTGGCCCCACGATACCATATATTCTTCATGCTTGCTGGTACCACATGCTCTAACAATATTGAAACAATTCAGATAATTCTTTACAATCATTTTAATTGGAAAACTTATAATACTCAAACATTCTTCTTAGCCATTATTCAGGTAAAATAATTGTGTTCTGCACTTTTTTTTTTTTTTTTTTTTGACTATAGAGCACATGAACTCACTGGAGAGATACAAAGAAGGAGGAAAAAAAAGATGGAAAGTGAGAACCTCCTGCTCCACAAGGAGGGATATTTGTGCCACAATCCTTTCTCCTCCGCTCTCTTCTCGAGATTCTAGGCATGCACAAACATGCGCCCAGCATGTTTTCCAAGCTGCCAGGTCCAGGACTCAAACTGCACATTCGGCCACATGGGATGCCATGTTGAGAAGTATGGTTCTCCTGGGAAAAACCAACCAGTCTGAGAACTCCAGCAACAAAATGATCACATTAAATATATTTTAATATACCAACAGTTGTATTCATGAAACAATATTACAAAATATATGAGCAAATTTGTACTAGTTTTATTTTATCTTTATATTAGATTTAACATCATAGTAATAAACATTTTTATAGCTAATTTTCATTATTTGGAGCCTTTTTTAAAATGAGTAAGTCAAAGTTTTGTGATTAAGTGAGAGTTTCTGTTCTTGGCTCTGGTAATTTACCAACATTTGCATTAAATTTTTATGTTTCCAGCTGTTGAAATTTGTACTGCTTTCAAAGAAAGAAGACATCATGTTTTCAGCATTGAAATATTGTGCAATAGACTATTTATATGAGGTAGGATATTAACAGTTTAGTATTTATTTACTAAGAATTAAAATGGGAAACTTGCCTGCAATCAGTATGTGATAATTTTTAAGTAATCCTTAGGTTAATACTTAGTTTAATTTTAGATTCATTTAAAATTACTTCTCGGGACCAGCAGTTAGCATAATGGCTATGTCGCTGGACTCCCACGTAGTCGACTGTGGTTCGTGTCCCGGACCCGGTGGCTTAAACTCACGCCGGGCGCGTGTGCTTGTGTGTCTAAGATCCTGAGAGGAGAAAGGAGGAGAAGGGATTGCGGCGTGGCCATCCCCCCTGGGGGGTGATTTCTCGCTTTCTATCTCTCTGTCTCTGTCTGTCTGGCAAGCGCACGTGCCCTATAGCAAAAACCTCTCAAAAAAATAATAAATAAAATAAAATAAAATAAGATAACTTCTCCTTTATACCTTTAAAATGCGACTTTGGGGAGGAGATTATTAAATTAAAATAAATAATTAAAACTGAAGCTGTCAGAAGAAAAAGAACTGAAACTCTTGGCAAGTTTGGAATACTTTTATGAACAATCTGGAGTGGCCTTTCTTTAAAGGAATGGGGGAGAAGCAATCCCAGTATCTTTATGATAAGATGACAATAGCAGTATGTATTGGCCACTTCGACTACTTTGCTCTTTTGATGGATTATGTTTGATCATCACAACTATCCCATGACATAGATCCTATTATTATATAGGTTTTACAGTTTTATGGATTATGAAACTAGTGCCCAGAGGAATTAAATATCTTGTTCAAATGTGAGAGCTGATTTTCAAGTCCAAGCACATAGTTAAGAAAGTAATTGGAATAGTTCTCATACAATACTTTATTGTTCTTATTATTTTAATTTACAAATTAATTTTCATTTCTTTGTAACATTGACCCCATCTACCAGAAAAAAAAAATCACTCCAATATAACCGAAACTGTATTACATGTTACAGGCATCTTTAGTTTTTTTTTCTTTATAACAGGTTTTTACCTTAAGCCACATTTGGTTACCAGAGCGAGGCAGACAGTGAGAGGGAAAGTGAGAAATTGCCTCCCTTCTCCACCCCCTCAGGGGGGGAATAGCTATGCTGCAATTCCTTCTCCTCCTGGGATCTTAAGCATGCATGCACATGCACCAGGTGTGATTTTCAAGCCACCAGATCTGGGGCTTGAACAGCATCAGCCATGTGCAATCCAGTGATGTAACCACTACACAATCTGCTGGCACCATCTTCAGTTTTTATTATTCCTTCATAACTGAGAGAAGCAAATGTATAATTAAGAGATATTCATAATAGGAGGAAATCAAAACAAATTATTATAGGGAACCAGCAGTTAGTGTAATGGCTATGTCGCTGGACTCCCACGTGGTCGACCGCGGTTCACGTCCCGGACCCGGTGGCTTAAAACTCACGCCAGGCGCGTGTGCGTGCGTGCCCAAGATCCCGAGAGGAGAATGGAGGAGAAGGGATTGCGGTGTGACCATCCCCCCAGGGGGTGATTTCTCGCTTTCTGTCTCTATATCTCTCTCTGTCTGGCGAGCGCACGCACCCTACAGTGAAAATCTCTCCAAAAAAAAAAATTATTATAATACATATTTATGAATATATTGGCCACTTGCAAAAGAAATCTTTATTCAAATTTCCAAATTGTCCTTATCCATAGTATCTCAGTTTCTTGCCAGTGTACTGCTTCCCATGATTTAATACAAATATGATACCAATAATGGCAAATCTTACAAAAGATATAGGACTTTGTAAAAGTTCATAAAAACAATGTTGCAGAATCATTCAAATAACAAGGAAAGATACTGGCAGTGAAGATCTAAAATTAGTTAACAGGCAGAAGATTGGTTTGAATATCAAAGGAGTCAAAGATACCTTGGAAAAATCCTCAATTTTTTTTTAAAAAGATATTCTTTATGATCTAAGGTGAAGTAATGACTAATAACATATAAATCCATCATACAATATAGTTTGTGGGAAAATTATGGCAAAACAATTATATAAGTTAATTATAAATTGAATTTTATATATAAAACTTACTTTTCATATCTTTATTTCATTTTTTTAAGATAAAATACTAAAATACTTTATTTTTCCTATTTACTGTGAACCTTTGGTCATTTTATATAAATTTCATATAAAAATCACCTTAAGTGATCTTTTCTCTGTATCATTTATTTTTGGATAATGAGAATTTCTTATTTAATATGTTATAGGATCTTTAGCAAACATTAAACTCTTAAAAACAATGCAAAAAACTATCATTTTTTCTAAATACCTAAAATATGTATTCTAAATATATTGAATTCTGTGAAAGTTAGAGTCATTGGGGGCAGGCTTTATAGAGGAGATATTGTTTAAGATACACCTTGAAGGATGAGTAGAATTTTGATAGCTAGAGAAGAATAGTAAGGCCTTTTCAAGGTACACTAGACAATGATTTTGATGAGGGAGTGACTGCTGAATGTTAAGAGGGGTGATGAAGAGACTAGTCTATTTAGAAAACGGTATGGGAAATTAGAAAGTAAAGGCAGACAGACCCAAATTAGAGAAAACTTTGACTGATTTAAAAGTTTGTTTACCTGATTTAACATTCCTATACTGAAACAATTTTCTTTACTAGACAGTAAAAAAAAAAAAAAAAAAGTTTAATACCAGAGGGCATATGTGTACTCCAGAGAAAGAGAGAGAGAGAGAGAGAGAGAGAGAGGAACAGAGTGAGAAAGTGCCCCCCAATAGGGCTTGGTTACTCTGCAGTCTTCTTTCCTCCATTTCTCATTCCTGTCGGAATCCTGGCATGTGTGCATGAACCCAGTGTATTTTTCAAGCACCGGGGCTAGGATTCAAACCGCAGTCAGCTGTGTGGAATCTAGCTTCTTCCACACAGCACTTAACCCCTGAGCTAGGTTGCTGGCCCTAGATCTTTTCTTTTAAATCAGATATTTATTTGTTGGTTTTAATGAGTGAAATAATGCAAAGATATAAAAAGGAAAAATTGAGACCACCATATTATATTTTTTAGCAAAACAAGAAAAAAAAAAACAGTACATTGTTGCTTAATAATATATAAATGACGTGATTTGATTTCTTGTCAAACACTTACGTTAGCCTAACCTAGGAAAAAATTCTGTAGAATATATGAAACTACTACTGATATTACTAGGGACCTTGACTTTCTCAGTTTTGTGGTTCTGTGTTATTTGGTATTTTATAATGAGTATATATTACTTTTTAAAATATAGTATGTTTCAAAGAGAAATTTAATATTTTAAATATTGTTAGTAAATAGTATATGTTCAAATATTTTGTAATCTTATTTTCTTACACAGAATGTAGTTAGAAAGAAGTTTCACAGAGATGCTTTCTTACTTCGAATGCCTTCATGTTTACGTCAAGATGAAAATTACCATACAGGAGTTACTGATGATCAATACAGGAGGCCATGGACAAGAGGTATGTTTTGGTTTTATTTTCAAAAATTTGTCTTGGGGCCAGCAGGTGGTGTGGTGGTTGAGGGCACTGGACTCCCACATGGCTGACCACGGTTCGAGTCCTGAACCTGGTGACTTGCTTCCTCACTTTCCCTTTCTCTCTTCTGTTCAGATTTAAAAAAATAATAGCAAATGGAATTAAATGAATAAATATTTTTTTTAAAAAATTTGTCTTAAAAATTATCTCAGAGTTTGGTGACACCATCACAGTGTTTTACTTATTAAATAAAAACTCATTGCATTTACTTACAACAGAATTCCAGAAACTTTACTAGTTAATAGTTTTATTATGGAATTTAGGAGGCTAAGTAAGGAATTGCAAAGCTAATACCAGATATGAAGATAACAAATAAAAAGTATTAAGATGATGACATCCTAAGACATACTAACAATGTAAGCATTTGTTATAATACGATTTATCTCAACTCTAGGAGAGCTACTTGAGGTTGTAATGATACACTGAATGTAAAGTTATTTTAAAAATATGTTTGTTAAGTACATTGAACAGTACTGTATAAGCAAAAGAGTCTGTAACGAGTAAGGTATGCTTGAGTGAAATTGTTTGAGTAGTAAGGTTTCTTTTTTTAGGGGGAGCAGGTTGTAATAATGAGGATTATTTTATTATTTAGAATCAGGTATCACTGTGTAAAAAAATTGCATTTCTGAACAAATACAGATAACATCATAATGTAAAAGATGAATGTTTAGCATCTTTATATTAAGTATTAAAGGAAATTCTAGAAGCTCATGTTTGCCATTCTCCTTTCTAGTTTCAGCTGTTTCTGTTCCAGGAATAACAGACACTGCAGTCTTTGATCAATGGAAAGCAAGTCTCTGTGTTGAGGATTTCCTTGAGAAGTATGTGTCCTTACCTCAAATTTCCCCTTTGTATCTAGATGAAGATAAACAATAAGTTCTCCAGGCACCTTAAGAGGGAAAATTCCTTCCCTTGTCACATATTTTCTTCTACCTGAACCAAAGACTGGTTAATATAAGTACTTTTTTTCCTTTGGTGGGATCTTCCTAAAATTTTTCTTTTTAAATAATCTTTATTTTCCCCTCTAATTTTAAAGAAAAAATTATATAATACTATCTATTATAATCATTGTAATAATTACCATTTATTGAATGCCTATCATGTTGTATATGTGAACATCCTAATTTATAGAAGTTTATACCCATCCAAGGAATTAGGTATAATAATTATTATTTCTTTACCCTGTTTGGGCATATTTTTAAAAATATTTTTTAATTGACACGATAATTATACATAGTTATGGGATACAATGTGGTTTTTGACAATGTATAACAATCAAATCAGGGTAATTTGCATAAAACCACCACAATATCATTACTTTGAGTTGGGAAAATTTAAAATCCTCTCTTCTTGCTTTCTTGAAATATACGATAAACTACTACTAATTATAGTCACCTATAATCACCTATAGTGCTATAGAAACACTACAATTTACTCTTCCTATCTAATTATGATTCTGCACTTATTGACCAACATCTCCCTATTCTCCCTGCTTAGCCTTTTCAGCCCTAGTAACCATTCTTAATAGAAGTAATTTATGTCTTTTTCATCTTTTCCTCACTTATCATATTTTAATTTTTCTCTATGCATTTTTGTTGCAAAAGACATATAGAAATAGAGCATATGTGTTACACTTTTAATAGCAAGCGAATTTTCTGTGGAAAAGTGTATACAGAAATTCCTTTCTATTAAAATCAGCCTTTTTCTCTGTAGCATAAATACATATTAAAGGCTATTTTCCAACATATTTTGTCATAATGTTATTATTAGTTCATTCATTCATCAGATATTATTGGGCACTATCCTATGTTTTGGGCATTGGATGCTAAAATAAAATAGCCTCTATCCTCAAACAATACAAGAAAACAGAATAGAGGTTTATAAATAAAAAATCATAATACAATGTGTGAAGTACAATGACCAAGATAGGCACACCAAACATAATGTGAGAAAGAACATCTAACACATTCTTTTTAATTTAGACATAAATTAGAGATTTTAGTGCAAATTTAAGCAACTTACTCTGTTGCCTCATTTCACCCATAGAGGGCTGATTAGACCCCAAAAGAATTTTGTTATTATATTCACATGTCAAGTTTTAGTAATTAAAGTTTTCCTTCATTGTACTTTACAAAAAAGTAATTTAAATGTGTCTAGACTGTGGATATAGAAAGACCTAGTATACCATTTCTGTCATCTAAGAATTTAAAAAGAGGCTTGCAGTTTCTGGGCAATGTCCTTAATAGGAAAAGATATATTTTTCTCCCTTACTTTTTTCCTTTGTGAATCCTGGAACGCGGAAGTAATGACTAACCGGAGAAACCATCTTGGAATATGCTGACAAGAATGAAATCTAGGAATGGCAGAGTAGAACAAAAAGAGCCTCAGTACTCAACAAATTGTGGCACTGCCTTACCCAGCCATAAACTGCTAACTTCCAGATTTTCCATGGTCCTTAATCTTTATTAATGTCAAATAAACACTCTGATCATTAGTACCACATGAATTTTCTGAACCTTGCTTTTCCTTTCTTTCTAATCTTTGTTTCTTGTTCATATTTTTGTTACTTCTTAATATTGATTCTGAGGCCTCAATTCTTTTATTCTTGCTAGTGTTCTGGTGTACTGTGTTTTAACATAGTTAGATATTTTCTGTGTTCCTGAAAAAACTTATGTTCTTCAAATTGCACACTAAAAATAATTGGCATATGAAAAATCACGTTTTGTAGTCAAAGACATGGAACTTGCAAGAGAGCGCTAACAAAAATAATAACTAATAAAATTAAACATTTTATGTTTATAAATACTATGTGTGAAGCACAGTGACCAAACACAGTTAATAACACCAGCATGGTTTAAAAGACATGTTAAATTCCTAACAAATACATCTTATATAGACGTCTTTTTAAAAATAAGGAAAGCTTGGTGTAAAGACTGGAAAAAAGAGTTGAAGATAGTTAGCTATGGCTATAGGAGCAAAATGTGAAAAGATCAGGGAGAACCTGACAGCTCATGGCCAAACTGAGCAAAAGGAACAGGTAACAGCGCTTTCCTATTTCTTTGTGGCTTGTGGTGTTCAGAGGCATGCAGTGGAATGCAAAACATTGCTCGTGTATTTACTTCCCATATTCCACATAACAGTTAAGGTGAGGTGAGTAATATCATCCCAGTGGTGAATAAGAGAAACCAATGCTCAGAAATACACTGGGATGTGTGCATGCATGATTGAAATCCTGAGAGAAGGAGAAGAGGTTGTGGTATGGTTATTTCCCTTAGGAGGTACTTTCTCACTGTTTCTCTCCTGTGTGGTCTATAGAAAATTTTAAAACAGGTTACAGAACACTATGTACATGAATCCACTTTTGTTTTAAAATATTCAAAAATAATTGATAAATTGGGGACCAGCAGGTGGCGTGGTGGTTATAAGGTGCTGGACACTTCCACATGGCTGACCATGGTTCAAGTCCTGGACCTGGTAGCTTGTTTTCTCACTTTCCCTCTCTCTCTCTCTGATCAAATTAAAATAAATGAATGAATAAATAAAATAAAGTTAAATAATTCTTTTAAAAAAATAAATAATTGATAAATGTACCTAAGTTTTGCTTTCATCTGGGTGGTGAGACTATGGGTAACTTTTCTCTGTATCTGTTAGATTTGAACATTTTTTCCACAGTGAACATATTCAAATTGTTAGTTAAAATGTTTTAAAATAGGACATACATAAATTCAGTAATTTTATGATGTTATAGACGAACAATTACAGGAATGGCGACCAAGATGAATTGTGAATTTAAGGACATTGTACCAAGTTCAAACCCAAACTCTCCTACTGGAGTAGAAGAAGCCAGTTTATATACCCTCGAGGACTATAGTGAAGTCTTTACACCTATTGACCTTTCAGAAAAATATCCAGAAATTCAAGGTAAAATGTGTCATTTCAGTTGTTATAAAACATTTCTTACCAATATATATATTTTCATTTCATTGAGTTTTTTGTTTGACAGGATTTTTAATTTTTATTTTATTCAAGATGTCCACCTACATAATTATAAGTTTAATCTTATTAGGGAAATACTAATCCTGTTTTTGTTTTGTTTTGTTTTAGGTTTTTATCCAAAGATTTTTGCATTCTCTGGAGAGAGACAGAGAGACAATGAAAAAATAAATGAGAAATCACTTGGAGGGTAGGGGGGATAACTACACCGCAATGCCTTCTCTCTTTTCCTCCTGGCATTTTGGGCATGCACTCACACATGCCCAGCAGATTATCAAGCCGCCAGATCTGGGACTTAAACCACAGTCAGCCCATGTGGGAGTCCAGCGTTGTAATCACTATGCCACCTGGTGGCCTCAACACTAATCCTGTTTTTGTAAATTGGAATATTTTTGGAGTTTAAGTTTGCTTGACCTCAAAATCACCTACAGAGATTCCATCATTGTGTGCTCACAACATACTCCTACAATGACGTTGGCATCTGTGTATCTCATGACATAGCAATCCATTGCATGCAATTAAATGCCTAGGTTTTGAAGTTGATTTTTGTACTGCTATTACATTCATCCACCTCTTAAACTTTCATATTGATTCCATTAATTAATTATTTTTTAAAAGAACTATTTATTTATTCATTCCTCCATTTTAATTTAGCCAGAGAGAGAGAAAGAGAGAGAAAGAAAATGAAAATGCAAGCCACCAGGTCTGGGACTCAAACTGTGGTCAGCTGTGTGGGAGTGTCCAGCATCTTAACCACCATGTCACCTGCTTGTCCCCTCCAATAATTACTTCTAATAATTCTAATGTACACAATTATGTTGTCTGTGAATAATATAGCCATCTATTTCTTAATATATATGTGTATATAATGTGGGCATATATATATATGTATATGTATGTATACTAGGCGCCTCTGTGTTATTTTTCTTACTTTTATCTCTTTATTCTTTCTGATTTACTTGGTAATCAATTTCCAAGTTCTAAATGTATTTATGTTTATATATTTTTGGTCTTCTGTGCTGACGAGGAGCTCCAGCACATTGTTCAATAGAAGCAGCAATAGTTGCCATTCCTGTCTTATTCCTGACACTAAAGGAAATGCTTCTAACATTTTACCAATGGATGATGAAATGTTAGACATATTTCCTTTTCTGGATTGAGGAAGCTTACTTCTGTTCCTAGTTTGCTAACACCTTTTAATCATGAATAAGGATTGAATTTTATTAACACTTTTTACATATGTTAAGATATGTAAAAATATACATACCAGCTGGTGGTATGGTGCCTGACGGTTGGATCCCATATGACTAACTGCACAGTTTAAGTCATGGATCTGGTGGCTTAAAAAATACTCTGGGTGCATATGCATATGTACCCAAAATCATGAAAAAAGAAAAAAAAATGCATATATGACCCTTTATAAAAAATTCATAATTCTATAGTTCATTATGTTTAAAACTTATATTATTCTTAAATGTTACTGTTATCTTGGGAACATTTCACTAGATGCTTTGGTTTTCTTCAAAAGCATGATTTTTAGTTATTGAAATTTTTAATTTTTTTTTAAAGAATTATTTTATTCAGGGACCAGCAGTTAACATAATGGCTATGTCGCTGAGCTCCCATGTAGCCAACCACGGTTCAGGTCCCGGGCCTGGTGGCTTAAACTCACACTGGGAACATGTGCGTGCATGCCCAAGATCCCGAGAGGAGAATGGAGGAGAAGGGATTGGATTGCGGCCATCCCCCCTGGGGGGTGATTTCATGCTTTCTATCCCTCTGTCTCTTTCTTTCTGGAGAGCAAAAAACCTCTCAAAAAAAAAAAAAAGGATTATTTTATTGAGCTCTATTTACTTATTTATTTAATTATTTATTTATTTCAATTTGACCAGAGAAGGACAGAAAGAGATAGAAAGAGAGAGAGAGAGGGAAAATGAGAAAGCAAGTCGCCAAGTCTGGAACTTGAACTGACCATGTGGGAGTCCAGCGCCCTTAACTACCACTCTACCTGCCGGCCCCCTGTAATTTTTAATCTTACATGTCATACATTTCCCAATTTGAGAGCACTAATATTTTTCATTTTAAATGTAAACATAAAGGTATACTCTCATTTCCAATTATTTCTTTAGAGTGAATTCTTGGAAAAGTAATGATTTGATATAAGTATTTTTTTAAGCTGTTTGTCTACTAGTATGATATGAGAATACCTTATTCATGTCAGCTTTATCAACACTGGATATATTACTGCTGATGTTTTGGTAATAGGTTTAAAGGAATGTGATGGGCAAAAAATTTGTATTTTATTTATGTTTTTAAAAATTATTGTTTATTGGGGCCAGCAGGTGGCATGGTGGTTGGGGTGACTGGACTCCCACATGGCTGACTGTGGTTCAAGTCCTGGACCTGGCAGCTTGCTTTCTCATTTTCCCTCTCTCCCTCTCTCTCTCTGTCTCTCTCTGGTCAACTTCAATAAAATAATAATAAAAATAATGACAATAAATAAAGTTAAAATAATTCTTTAAAAAATTATTGTTTATTTATCATCTGCATTTTTCTTTTGTGAAGTGACTCCTTTTGTTTTTTATCTATTTTTTATTCATATATTTTATCTTTATAGAAGTATCAATAACTCTGAGACCAGTAGTTAGTGTAATGGCTATGAAGCTGAACTCTGATGTAGACGACCACAGTTTGAGTCCCGGACCTGGTGGCTTAAACTCACGCCGGGTGCGTGTGTGTGTGTGTGTGCCCAAGATCCCAAGAGGAGAATGGAGGAGAAGGGATTGCAATGTGGCCATCCCCCCCGGGGGGTGATTTCTTGCTTTCTGTCTCTCTGTCTCTCTCTGTCTTTCTGGTGAGCATGCATGCCCTATAGCAAAAACCTCTCCAAAAAGAAAAAAGAAGTCTCAATAACTCCAAACATAATTAATTTGAACCTAACCAGTTCTGTCAATATTTTTCGTTATAATTTCTTTCAGTACTTTCATACTTGGAAAATCTTTCCTTAATTAGATAAATATTCATTTGAATTTTAAAATTTTGTATGATTTTATTTCAGTTTTTGGTATATATTTAAAACTAGAATAAAAGGGACCAGCATATGGCGTAATTGTTATGTCACTGGACTGCCATGTAGTCAATTGCAGTTCAAGTCCTTGACCCAGTGGCTTAAAACATGCTGGACATGTGTACATGTGTACTCAAAATCCCAAGAGAAGGGAAGAGAAGGGATTGCAGTGTGGCCATTCCTCTGGGGAGTGATTTCTCACTTTCTGTCTCTCTGTCTATGTCTCTCCAGTGATCACATGCACCCTATAGCAAAAACTTGTTTCTCTTAAAAAAAAAATAGAATAAAAATATTTTTTCAAATGTTTTGGTAGTTGTTTCAGTATTATTAAAAGAATAGTCTTTTCTTCCCTGCTGATTAGAAATGCCACTTCCCACTTCCATCATGCACTAAAGCCTATCCACATCTGCATTTGTTTCTGGGTTTTCTATTATGCACTGTTGTCTTGCCTTTTATTGTGTTGGTGTTCCATGGGGTTTTTTCCTTTATTTCTCTAAAATTATAATGTGTGCACACTATAATTGTGTGTACAAGAGAGAGATAAACACACTTGACAGGATCTGGTTATGCTGCAGTCCCCATTCCCAGCCCTCCAGCTCCTCAGGATCTTAGGTACGTACACACAGACACACACACACACACACACACACACACACACACTCAGGGTATTTTTTCAGGCTGACCTGAGGATCTGAACCCATGGTTCGCCATGTGGCTTCCAATATTGCAGTCCAATACCCTATAGACTGCACCAACTAGGTTTGGCCAGTATCATAGGGTTTTAACTATTTAATATATAGCATGTGTTAATAGTCTCCTTTTTGTTATTATTTTTCTTCTTCTTATACCTTTATTCTTCCATATTTACTTTGTTATCGTTTTTTTAAGGTCTTTTTTTTTTTTTTAAGAATTATTTTGTTGGGACCAGCAGTTAGCGTAATGGCTATGTTGCTGGACTCCCACGTAGTCGACTGCGGTTCGAGCCCTGGACCCAGTGGCTTAAACTCACGCTGGGCGCGTGTGCGTGTGTGCCCAAGATCCCGAGAGGAGAATGGAGGAGAAGGGATTGTGGCATGGCCATCACCCCTGGGGGGTGATTTCTTGCTTTCTATCTCTCTATCTCTCTCTCTGGCTGGCGAGCGCACGTGCTCTATAGCAAAAAATCCTCTCCAAAAAAAGAAAAAAAAAAGAATTATTTTGTTTAACTTTATTTATTTAAATTTGACCAGAGAGGGACAGAGTGAGAGAGAGAGAGAAGGAAAGTGAGAAAGCAAGCTGCCAGGTTCAAGACTCAAACTACAGTTGGCCCTGTGGGAGTCCAGCATCCTTAGCCACTATGCTACCTACCGACCCTACTTTTCCAAGATTTAAAACAGATCTCTTGGGAAATGGAAATAGTGCTGAGATCCTTTAACTTTTTACCACAGTTAATTTTTCTAGCCAAGAAAATGGTTTATATTTTCCTCAAGTTGATTTTTTAAATATTCCTCAGTAAAGTTTTGTAGTATCCATTGCATACTTTCTTAAACATTTTTGTTGTTTATTTCATTGTATTTCTTTTTTTTTTTTTTTTAGAGTTTTTGTTGTTGTTGTTATAGGGCGCATGTGTTTGCTGGAGAAAGAGACAGAGATAGAAAGTGTGTGTGGGAGGTGGGGATGGCCAGCCACAATCCCTTCTCCTCCATTCTCCTCTTGGGATTTTGGGCATGCACACACAAGCACCTGGCGTGAATTTTAAGTTGCTGGGTCCAGGACTTGAACCACAGTAGACTTTGTGGGAGTCCATTACGCCATCTGCTATTCCCAGTTTCCTTATAATTCTTATATTGATGTCTATTATGGGTGTTGTTTCCTTTTTAAATAACTAGATCTTTATTCATTACAAAACCACTCATTATATCATTTTTGTTGGACACCTTACTGATTCCCCTTATTTGTTGTGATTTAGTTATCCTGGGTGTTCTAGGTTGGCAAAAGTATTCTGCAAAGAATAAACCTTTCTTCTTTCCAATTAGTAGACCTTTTCAAATTCTTATTATTTTCATAGTTAAGTAGCCAAAATTTTATTTCCTGGTGAAAATGTAATCCTTCTCTATAACAGAGGAGAACAGTCTCATTACAACTGTGTAGTGCACATGGTATGTTATAATAAAGTAAGAACTCCAAGGCATTCTATATAGCTATGAGAACATGAGAAAGAAAAATATAATAATGTAAGAAAGTAGCACCCTTGGTAAAACCTTTAATTACAAAGAGCATTGATTGTGGTGTGATGCTGCCCTCAAGTGGTTCATCCATAAAAGAGTGGTTAGAAAACAAGACATCATAACTGACATGAAGTATTCCCATTTACTCCCCAAAATATCAGAGGTAAGCTCTAGTTATGAAAGATGGTCAGAGGGGCTGTGTTTGGAAGTGGAAGAAGGATATGGAGATTTAAACTAATGCTGTTGGGGCCAGAGGTATTGTGTTAGTTAAGGCGCTTGACTCCCACATAGCTGACCACAGTGAGTTCAGGATGTGGGGCTTGCTTTCTCACTTTCCTTTCTGCCTCTCTCTGGTCAAATGAAAAACAAACACATAAAAATTAATAAATATCTTAAGATAAACTATGTTTTGTTTTTTACTATTAATATGACTGAATACTTACAGAATTGATTATACAAATAAGCCATCTTTAACTTTCTCAGAAGCATCCTTTGACATGGAATTGACTAGCTTTCTTTGGTGTGTCATGGGAAGCTTTAGTCTATGACATTTTTCAGAATCTTTTTTTTTTATTATTATTTGTTTTTATTTTTAACATTAATATGCTATACATCATTACAGTATACAAAATGAATTTTTTATCCAAAATACATTGTCTGTTGGCTCAATCAAGTACATCAACATATGTGTTATCAACAAACAATTTTCCATTTCTTATGTCTTGTATATTTTGAGTTTTTTCTCTTTTTTTGCCATCCTTGATTCCCTATCCCTAACCCTCTGCCCTGTCCAACCCTCCTCCCATTGTCTCTGTTATCCCTGTTTGCTTTCTATGCCTATCCCCTCCATTTAATTGATTTGCTAATGAACTTAATTTGTCTAAATATTTGCAATAGCAAGCACAGCTGATATTTACATACACAAGAACCCATGTCTGACTTTAGGCATAAACCTCAGTGAGTAGAATGAACATACTATAAAATGGTACCTAGCTGGGGCTATATAGCTTACTGTGGTCATCAAATACACAGTTTTTTCTTTAAATTTTGGTAACAGTTTTAGTATTTTTTTCTCTGAATTTTTTTTTAATTTACATTCATTCCCTGAGCATCATCACAACATACTAAATGTGGTTTCCCCTCTAGAGTAAACTGCATAGTGTCTTAATCATGCATGTTATCATCCATAAAATTCCATTACTACTTTCATATATATATGTTTTTTACCCTATGTCTGACCCTCTGCCCCATTTCACTCTCTTATTACACTATCTCTGCTGTCTACAGTTATCTTCAATTCCTTTTCCCCCACCATTTCGTTGATCACACAATATCATAAGTAATCTAACTACTTACAATAGCAACTTCAGCTGATGGTTTCAAAAAAAGCAGTTTTGAACTGGTAAGGATATTTCCTTGAAACTTAAGGCCTAGAAACTGGTTAGTATTCTGTTCAAATAGTAGGTACATGAATCCATTGACAGCTCAAGACAGGACAAAAACTGGACAACAAAGCTTAGAAGAAAAGCAGCAATATTTTAGTCAAGTCATAGAATGCTGTTTCATCAGTTCAGTCTCATGTACTTAATTTTCTTCTGTTTCTGTTGAGGTTCAATCTTCCAGATTGAACTCTG